TAAGGTCAAGTGTCCAGTTTGGGCTAAGGTTACGGTTAGAATTAGAGTTAGGGCTAGAATAGTGGAATAATTTGCGTTCCTGGCATTTGGCCTAACGCCACTGGTACTATGTGGGTGGGGGGGACGTTCCTATTCCATTATCCTGCACGAAGGCAAATATAAGAAATTCTGACCAAGGTATAATCGAAAAGCAGTCAGTAGGTCTTGGCTTACTTGGTTAAGCTTGATGTCCATTAGGGAGGTCCGGGCCTGGCCAATCTTCCTCATGTCGATATCACCCGTGGGTGTTTGCGCACCGAAAGGTGTGGTAAGACCACCGTGAAGCTGCTCCACGGCGTCCAGCTTCGAATTGATCTGCAAAGTAAAGTGTAGAAATAAATGCATTACTTAGGCCCCTACAAATTGGTGACCCCGACGTGATCTGAGCACGCCAATACTACACATGGCTGAGCACCATCTTCACAAACTGTCAAATTGACTTCGTCTTAGTGCGTCACTCATCGTGCCCACGGAAAGGGAAACGCTATTACTAAACCGGGTTGGACGTCTTCATTAAGTGTCAGCCATACGGCTCCAGGTCAGACCCAAATCTAAATGTGCAGCACATTCATGTTGCCATCTAAAGAAATTTTTCTGTTGTACGATGCATTTTTTCCGCCCATCACCGATTAAAATATCAGCCTCGAGTTATCTGCATACACTCAACACGCAAATGTATAGACATTAATGCTATGAAGCCTCCAGCTTCAAATTGATCTGCAAAACGAGGTCAGAAATCCGGCGAAGGAAAAAAGACACCAACCCTGAATAGGAGGCACTCTTTGCAAAAGGTGAGGAAGGAGACCTAGAGGGCACAGGACTTTTTAAGCCCAAAAGATCACAAGCTAAGAGATAGTGTTCACCTTCAGTTGATTTATAAACGCAAAGAAAGTAAACCACCTGAACTGTTAATGGTTGCTGGAAGAATTGCCAAACCGAAAGGCTCTGTATGTCAGCGTTCACACGGAGATCAATCGCTTTAAATATGAGATAATGTACGCGGGGTCTTCTTGAAAGCAGAAGCGAACGATCTGTACTCACTCAAATTGTTTCACCCATCACACGTAACTACGTCACGCAATAAGAAAACTGACAGAGTTCGAAGGCCTGTCCTCACAGACAAGCGCGCACACAGATAGGTCTTCGATGACTTAGGGAGGGGGGAGGGCGGGTGTTCGGTCTGCATAAAAGGCGCACTTCACAGGCACCAAGCCTTGCAATCCGAACATGGTGAGTTGAGAGCAGGAGTCTACGCTAGGTAGTCAACAAGGTGGTCAACTTCACTTGCATCGTTCGAACTTAGTACTTCCCAGAAAACGACCAGTAATTGCAGCCCAAAGTCTGATGGGCTTCCCTCATATTGGACAAGGGAGCAGTAGGTGCCTGATTGAGAGCGAAGCAGAACTTATTGATGTTCCTCGAATGGAAATGAGCGACAACCATTCTAAACAGTTGGCCGGGGCAGCGGGAAAACGGGTTTGGCCTGCCGGCCTAGCCATGCGTTCGCGGGTGTAGATTGGTCTTCCATAGAGGCTCGCCATGAGGCAAGCAGGTTTTCGGATCTCAGGAACAAGCAGTTGTGAGGTATGCGATGATAATATTTTCCAGTCCGGTTGGACATCGTCTTCACAAATTAGTCAGTAGGGCGCAGTAGTACCACGATGCGACTGATGGTGCATGGCAGACCTGATCCAAACGATTCACTGTGATGTAGTGACCGAGGCGTGAATTACTGCTGGACTCCTTCCATGCCGTAACTTAAAAGATAGCTAGGAAAGGAAATAGAGCAGGGCTAAAGTAAGATTAGTTGCTCCAGCTTGATGCAAACATCGATTTCATGAACATGAGAAAGTGGGTACGGGCTTGCAGACTGCGTTTTCTAACTAACCTAACGAAGAAAATGAATATGTGTATATGCCAAAGATCTTAAACAAGCAGGTACATACACAGGCACAAAGCTGCATAAAGCCCCTGAAAATGAATCAAAGTCAACTTCTAGGAGCACAGACAGACGATGAAAACACACCTGATTATCTTGAAGATTTTTGGCGATAATGCTGTCGGGCACTGGAGTGAAGCGTTCAGCTCGAGGATTACGCTGTTTCTTATTGCGAGCATCACCAACTTCCGGCAGGTTAAGCCATTCCGACTCAGTAACAGAGGCCAGATCCCGTTTAAGGTCTATGAACTGCTGCTGAATCTTTGGCCTCTCCTTGCGATACTGCTCGATCTCTTCCTGCAGTCGACGTTCGCGGTAGGTGCGGCGGCGTTCGTCCATGCGTTCATCGATGGAAGAGTAGATTTCATCCGCCTCGGCATCGTCCTTCTCGTAGGGGTCTTTGGAACAGATGCTTCCACCGTAGCCCGAAAACTGCACAAAAAACAAGCCCAAGGGAAGTGCTGTTCAGTAACCAGTCTAAAAGCATCCTATCCAATGGCTGCTAGCCCTAGACATGACTCAGTCGGTCATATGGTCGTATTATAAAATATGAGAAGTTTAGCAACAGAAAGCATACAGAGTTCCGTTCCCGAAACGCCTGTCCAACCACCTCCACATGCCCATGGTCTCATAATGGATCTCGAAACGAACCCTGGAACTTGGGCCGACGGTATTCGAGGCAGGCAGGCAGTCTGCATCGTCTTTACGTACACCGAGCTAACTCCCCGCCACCACTGGCATCAGTAACGACCTCCAGTAGGAATAATTCAACTGACAGCAGACTAAATTTTAAAATTAGTAATCAAAACGTGTTTTTTCACTGCTTGTGCTGTGCCAATGGGCACATGTTAAGGCTCTGGAAGAGTCGGTTCGGAAGGCCCTCAAATTGCACTAGGGAATGTGCAACGCCTACCTAAAAAAGCATTTTGGGTGGAGTTTGAACGTGTCTTCAGTCACGGAAACAGAAGCATAAAGCCAGATTAGTCACTGAAGAACCTGTACTGTGACAAGGGTTTAGACGCCTGAGGAAAGTCGGGTCTCCCGGTCAAAAGGTAGATTTCTAGACAGATGCGCAGTAACTAAGCAGCACGAAGAACTTATTTAAATGTAGCTCACTGGTACCATAGTACGGTGCAATCGTCAGACTTGCGTTCTATAAGGTAGTATAGTAAGGTAGATAATGAAAACTTTGAAATAACTATAGACGGGAACTAGGGTCAATAACGCATGAATACACGAAGGAATTTTACATCGATGTCATGTGAAGTAAAAGAGCCGTCAACGGGCTTAAGACTCTGTGAAGTGGTCAGCGGCCAAACTTAGAAAGCTTTTCCACGGAGTATTTTATGGTGTAGAAATTGGGAGACATCGGGTTCCCAGAACGTGCAATTTACGGCATAGAGTCATGATAATTAGGACCCCTCAAAATGAATGCAATTTTACAGATAGCAATCATATATGAGGACCATGGAATAAACAGCTGTAAGTTGCGCTACCAGAGTGAATAACAGAGTAAGTGTCAAAATGGAAGAGGAGAAGACTAACTTCGTCGTAATTTGCTTCGTTTAGATCCTCTTCGGCTTGTTCTTCATCCTGCTCCTTTTTACGTTTCGAGGGAGCCATGTGTCGCTCGTCGGAAACATCATTGGCCTCCCTCGCGGGACCAATATCCGAACGGGTTGTAAAACCAGTTGCACCTCGGCCAATACC